AGCCCCAGCCCCAGCCCCATCCCAACCTCTCCATTCCAGCTCAGTCCTGCCCCCAGGGCCTGGCAGGTGAGGGGATCAAGGCCAGCTTTTTCCAGGAGCTTTTGCTCGGGGGTTTTATTTTTCCAGCCCGTTTTATATAAATAGCAGCCCCAGAACAATCTGTTCCCTTTATTTATTTGTGTATGGAGGGGAGGGAACGTCAGGCCTGGCAGGAGATCGGGATCGGAGCGCTGAGAGCTCCCAAGGGAAGGACAAACCCCTCAGCTGCAGGCTGGGACACGTGGGGGGCTTTGGGGACACGGATGGGGCTGTGGAGGGGACAGAGGGGCTGGCTCTGGGAATCGGGGGATGTCTCTGTGCTGGCCCTGGGGAATGTCCCTGTCCCCTGTGCTGGCACTGGGGAATGTCCCTGTCCCCTGTGCTGGCACTGCCCGGGGTGTTCTGTGTCCCCTGCGTGGCTGTGGGGACCCCCCAGCTCTGTGGCCCCACTGCTGTGACCCCTCCTGACCCCACAGACCCCTCCCCAGGTCTGTGGGGTCTGTGGGTTGCTTTCCACCTGCTTTCCCCTGCTTTCCACCATCTCCAACCCCAGGAGATGCTCAGGCTCCTGAGGAATCCCCCAAAATCCAGCGCAGGGATCCCACGGGAGCACCCCAGGCTGGGACAGGACAGCTCCCACCCTTGCCTTGCTCAGGACTGCCCAGAACCCTCAAAAATCCCAAATCCCTGCTCAAACCACCACCGGGGGTTTTTCACTGCTGCTCACCGTTGATCTGGTTCCCCTGCAGGTAGAGGTTCTCCAGGTTGGTGTTGACCCGCGGGATCTTCTGGAGCCGGTTGTAGGAGAGGTCCAGCTCCAGGATGCTGCTGCTGTTGAAGGTGTTGCTGGAGAGCCCTTGGTTGGTCAGGCTGTTGTGGGACATCCTCACGTAGAGCAGCCTGGGGGACACCTGGAAATAATCGTCGGGGATGGCGTTGATGTAGTTGTACTCCAGGTACAGCTGCTCCAGGGACGCCGGGAGCCCGTCGGGGACCTTCCTGAGGTTGTTGTAGCTCAGGTCGGCCAGGATCAACGACTTGAGCCCCTTGAGGGAGGCGCCCAGCTCGAAGATGAAGTTGTGGCTGAGGTACAGCGCCGTGAGGTTCTCCAGCCCCTCCAGAGCATTGGAAGGCACCTTGGAGATCTGGTTGTAGGAGAGGTGGAGCTCCCGCAGCGAGCGCGGCAGCGGGCCGGGCAGCCTGGTCAGGTTGTTGTTGTTCATGTAGAGCCTCTCCAAACGCTGCAGCTTCCCAAAAACCCTTTTCCCCATCTTTTCGCTGCTGATCTGGTTGTTGTGCAGCGCCAGCCACTCCAGCTCCGTGGCGTTGTCGAAGGCTCCCTCCTGGATGGAGGTGATCAGGTTATTCTGGAAATAGACGTATTTCATCCGCGAGGGCACGAACGGGAGGTACCGCAGGTTCCGCGTGTCGCAGTACATGGCCGAGGAGAAGTTGGGGGGACAGTCACACTCCTGGGGACACCGCCAGGGCGCGGCTTGCTGCGGCTCCGGCTCGGGCTCGGGCTCGCTGTCGGTGGCGGAGGGGTAGGAGTAGGCGTACGCGGGGCTCTCCTCCTCGTAGTAGGGCACGTAGTTGTAGGAGGAGACGCGGGACTGCCGCAGGTAGTACTGGAGCCACGCCAGGTCCTCCTCCTCGTTGTACTGGCCCAGGGCGGAGCCGCAGAGCCCGGCCAGGATGAGGATGAGGGTGGTGGCCCAAGGCATGGCGCTGCAGGGACCTGCCAGGGGACAAAGCCGGGGGAGGATGAGCTGGTGGTGGAGCTGGAGAAGCAGGAGATGAGGGAATCCCACCCAAAAATCCCCGGGTCTGGACACTTCCCCTGTGTGGAGTCATCTGATCTTCCCCCTTTTCACCTTGGAGAAAACTCCATCCCAGTGGAGATCTGGGAGGAACCAGTGGAGATCTGGGAGGAACCAGTGGAGATTTGGGAGGAATCTCAATCCCAGTAGAAATTTGGGAGGAACCAGTGGAGATCTGGGAGGAATCTCCATCCCAGTAGAAATTTGGGAGGAATCTCCATCCCACTGGAAATTTGGGAGGCATCTCCACACCACTGGAGATTTTCTTGTGAGATCCTGATTTCTGGCTAATTCCATCCCAATTTCTGAGGAAATTTCGGTTGCAGGGGATGGAGACTGGGGACACGGGGGTTTGTATGAGGTCACACGAGGTGCCCGGGGTCGGCTCTTCATGGGAAGGAGGAGAAGGAATTTGGATTCCCTTGGGGAAGGGATTTGAATTCTCTGGCTGAGAAGGGAAGCTGCCAGCTCAGGGTGATTTTGGGAGCTCGAGGCATCTTTTGAAGGAGCTTGAGGCGCCTTTTGAAGGAGCTATTTATGCTCCGCTCGCTGGTGACAGGAATCGCTGTGGGTTTCATCCAGCTCTCCCTTCCCCCACAGAAACGCAGGATGCAGATCCCGGTAAACAAATTCTGCCTGATTTTGGAGCTGAAACCTCTTCCAAGCTTCCATTTCCCCAGGCACGGGAAGGGGCAGCACCCTGGGTGTGCCCAGGGAGAGAGGGGCCATCTCCTGCTGACGGATCCAGAGGAGAGCAGGGAATGAGGCAAACCCATCCCTGCTCCCCTGCCATGCCCAGGTGGGGCTGCAGCGGGAGGATTCCAGCCCTGGAGTCATCCTGACTCCTCATCCCGGGATAAACGAGCTCACGGGGTGTTCCTGCAGCCAGGCAGCTTGAAATCCCTCCAGGAATTTCGCTGCTGGGAGCGGGAGAGGATCCTACGTGGCTGGGAGGGTGTCAGTGCCAGCTCTGCTCCGGCGGGGACAGCAGCGACCAGCAGGGACCAGTGTCCCCTTTTTGCCGTGCCAGGGGTGGCCCTGAGGTCACCTGGTGGCTCCTGGCTGTGTCCCCACCTGCAGCAGGGAGGGGGCACCTGGCTGGGCACGCACAGAGGGCACGGAGTGCCCTGCCCTGCCAGCCTGGCACGGGAGAAAAGAGGGATTGGGGCAGGCTTGGCAAGGCCTGGATTCCTCCTTTTTTCCTTGCTTCCCGCTCAGTGTGCTCGGGATGGGATCCTGAGGGATGCTGGGTGCCACGGAGAGCTTGGCAGGGGCAGAGGAGTTTCTCCTCCTCCTCCTCCTCCTGCTCCAGGGCTCTGTGCCTGCTCTCATACCAGAGCCTGCAGCGTCTCCACCCTCTTGGCAGCCCCTTCTTGGGGGCCCCTTTGGGGCAAAACCCCACCTTTGGGGGCAAAACCCCATCCCTGGGAGTAAAAAACCCATCCCTGGGGTCAAAACCCATCCCTGGGATCAGAGCCCATCCCTGGCGTGTCTCCCCCTTTCCCAGTGCCCCCCTTCAACCTGCTGGTGACCCCAAAATCTGTCCCCAGTGTGCCCCCACTACTTGTGGGGTTCTCCTCCCCTCCCTGGGGGCCTTGTCTCTGGCTGTGGGGTGGGACCCTGGAGTCCCTGTCCCCTCCTGGTGTCCCTGTCCTGTGCCAGGGGCTGTAATGGGGTCAGCTCCTCATTCCAAGGATTTGGGGTGAGGATTGTGGGCATGGAACCGGGATGGGATGGGATCCATGGGATGGGATGGGATCGATGGGATGGGATCTATGGGATACATGAGATGGGATCCATGGATGGGATCTATGGGATCCATGGATGGGATGGGGTGGGAAGCACTGCCCAGCCTGGATGGACATCGGGAAGCGCGTCCAGATCCCAGAAAAGTGGGCATGGATGTGGCAGAGGGGAGGGAGATGGGCAAGAGGGGATCTGGGACCGGGAGATGGGTGGGATGGGAGAGGAGCAGCAGGAAAAGAGGGAGAGGAGAAGTGGGCAGGAGGGGAGAGGGACATCAGGAGAAGTGGGCAAGAGAGAGGAGCAGCAGGAAAAGTGGGTGGGAAGGGAGATGGCACCAGGAGAAGTGGGCAGGAGAGAGGAGCAGCAGGAGAATTGGGCAGCAGGAGAGATGGGCACCAGGAGAAGTGGGTGGGAAGGGAGACGGCTCCAGGAGAGGTGGGCAGGAGGGGAAGCGCCTCCCTGGCAGCTCCGTCTCTCCAGCTGTGCCACCTCCGGCGCTGCCGGGGCGCAGGGATGGAAACCAGGCTTCAAACAAAAAAAAAAACCCCAAAAAAACCCCAAAACCCACCTCCAAATAAATAACAATAATAATAAAAGAATCAAAAGAAGTCCCGGACTCACCGGGGTGCGCTGCTCCTGTGCAAAGGCTGCTGCGGGCTGTGCCGTGGCACCGGCAGCATGGGAGGGTCGCTCCCGAGCCGCAGCGCCGGGTGCCCGCCCCAGATCCCGGAGCAAATCCTGCGCTGGCAGGGCACGGGGATTTCGGGGAGTGACCTCGCAGCCGCAGCTTTGCAGGAGAGACTGGAGAGCCCCTGGTGCTGCCTGGCGTTATAAATAACCTGCGATTTCTTTCCTCCCTCTCTCTCTCTCTCTCTCTCTCCCGTCTTTTCTCTCAGGAGTGTTGGCACTTTCCAGGCTCCCTCTGCTTAACGATTTAGCGGGATTGGGATGTTGTTTTTCAGGGCTGCGTTTCTCATCAGGGAGCCCTGAGGAGGCCTTTGGCCAGATCAGGGAATATCGGGTTTTAGAGGTGCTGAGGACGGGATTCTTTGGGAAAAACAAGGAATTATCCTGGATTTTTGCACTACCGGGAGGGGAGATGTCGGCCCTGCTCCGACTGCTCCCCAGGAAGCCTCAGTTTGTGCAGTGCTGCCGTTAAATATTTGGGATAAACATTTCCATGAACGATAAGGCGGCAGCATCCAAGGTAAATAAATTCCCTACCAAAGGGGCCACTGTGACAGCGGGAATTTGTCTCTGAATTTTGGCAGCGCAGGGATGCCAAGCTGGCATTTCTGCAGGCTGGGAAAATCCACATGGGACTGGGGGGTCCCATCCTTCCCCCTGAGATTTTGGGGATCTCATCCATCCCTTGGGATTTTGGGGATCTCATTCGTCCCCCTGGAATTTGGGATCTCACCCATCCCCTGGAATTTGGGGATCTCATCCATCCCCCAGGATTTTGGGATCTCATCCATCCCCTGGAATTTGGAATCTCATCCATCTCCCAGGATTTTGGGGATCTCACCCATCCCCTGGAATTTGGAATCTCATCCATCCCCTAGAATCTGGGGATCTCATCCATCCCCCAGGATTTTGGGTATCTCATCCATCCCCTGGAATTTGGAATCTCACCCATCCCCTGGATTTTGGGGGTCTCATCCATCCCCCAGGATTTTGGGTATCTCACCCATCCCCTGGAATTTGGAATCTCATCCATCCCCTGGAATTTGGGGATCTCATCCATCCCCCCGAGGCTCAGCCAGGGTAGGAATGGGGGGATAAGGACAAGGAGCGCATCCTGAGGGTTGTGAAGAGAACTTGGAGCTCATCCCAGTGTCCCAAGGCTCATCCCAGTGCCACAGCTCCCCCATCCCTGTCCCCTCATCCCCATCCTGGCTCCCCGAGCACTTTGGAGCCGGCTCTTCCCGGCCTCTCCAAGCATTTCCTCCCACAAGGAAAGGAAAGGAGGAGTCCTGAGCGTCCCTCGCCCAGCTCCGGCCGCGCTCCCGGATCCTCCCAGGAGCCTGGAATTATTTAGCCGAGCTCAGCAGGTGCCAGCTCCCCCCTCGGGGCTCCATTTCTCCTTCTTTTCCATAGAAAATTCCCAGCCAAAACATCCTCCCCGGGGGAGCCGGCAAGGATCCTGGGCGCTCCCGCCGGGAACAGGAGGAGGAGGAGGAGGAGCAGGGATGTGCGGGGAGTTCGGGCTTGGAGGGACACGCTGTACACCGGGGACTCGGCCAGAAATCCCGAATATTTGGGAAGGGAAATGCGCCTGGAAAGCACAGCCCGTCTGCAGCGAGGGGGGATGTGGGGAAAGTGGAAAAAGAGGGCAGGGAAAGGGAGGAAAACCCCAGGGAAGGGACGTGGGGGGATTTTTTCCTCCCCTCTGAGCGTTGTGGTGGCAGCTGGAGAAAGAATCCCACGTGGAAGGGAGGGGCTGGAGGCTTTGGGATGATGGAGAGGATGGAGAGGTTGGATCCCACTCCCAGGGAGCCGAATTCCCGAGGAATTGGTGCGAGGGCACTGGCAGCCAGGACCATCTGCTGCTGTTGGAGCATCTCTGGCCAACAGCTCCAAGGATTTCAGGGCCTGGAGGATTTTCTGGAAAAGCAGATAGCCCCCAGCTAGGCTGGATAAGGAATTCCAGCCTCTCCAGCCTCTGGAAGTTTAAAGGATCTGGGATATGCTCCCTTTGGAGCAGGAACATTCCGTGGTGGCTTCCAGTGGTGCCCTGGGAATGCTGAGGAGCCCTCCCTGCTCCGAGTGGTGCCATCCCTGTTGTCCCATCCCCTTTTCCAGCCCAAACCAGGGAATATCTGTGTGATTCCAGTGCTGGAGCCCAGCCCGTGTGCTCCCCACAGAATCCAGAGCTTTCTGTCCAATCATCCCCACCAGACCGGGATTATCTCAGGGAAGTGGGAATTTTCCAGCTGAGGAACCCCACGAGGCTTTTCCCCTTTTTTCTCCATCCAAGGCTGGAATCTCATGCTCCAGTTCCCCCCCGTGTCCCTGAGTTCCTGGCAGGGCTCCCCTGGCATGGGGAGGGTGTTGATAGGACCTCGTTGCTCCCACTCCTTTCATCCCAGCTCCTCGCGCTTCCCAAGGGACTTCCATGAAATTTTTCCACGTTTTTCCCCCCAAAACCAGCAATTCCCTGCTGCTGGCTGCTCGGAGGAAGCCCAGAGCTGGTGACAGGAGCCGGGAATGTGCTGTCCTGGATTCCTGGAATCCCACAGTCCATTATCACTGCGCAATCCCATCCGGAGCGGTCATTCCATGATCCCAGTCTGCATCTCATCCTGGTTTGCTTTGGTTTTCCAACCCAAAGCGAGCAGGGATTGTTTGGGATGGATTTTTTCCAGCTGTTTTCATCAAATCCTTTGGAGCTTCGTATCTGGAAGCGCCGAGTCTGGCCTGGCTTTGCCTTTAATCCTCCAGTGCCGGGAGCTGGGAGCTTCCCCACGGATGGACACGGATTTATCGGGATGCAGGGACTGGATGCTTCCCAACAAAACAAAGCAACAAAACATTTCCCTGCTGCTCCTGCCGAGGCTGAATCCCGCCTGGATGGAGGGAGGGAGGATTAAACCCACCCGGAGCATCCAGCCACAGCCGCTGTCGCTCTCGGCTCCTTCGGCAGCTTCCTGGGTTTTTTACTCATGGAAATTTCTGCTCCTTCCATGTTTCCAAGGAGTTTCAGCCTTGCTGTGCTCCCATTCCTGTTTTTCCCTGGTGTTCCTATCCCAGGAAGGAGTCACCAGTTCCAGGGATTGAACGTGTGTGTCCTGCGGGTCCCCCCCTGGACCTTGTCCCTAAAGGCAAATCCCTGAGGATTTGCAGCTCCCAGCTGCTTTTTTATGAGATTCCAGCCTCGAGATTCCCAAAGAGGAGCCAAGGAATCCGCTGGCACCTCCAGCCTTGCTCAGGCAGGTGTGGGGAAAGCTTTGGGCATCACCTGAGTGTGGAGGGAGCGGTGAAACCACGACCCCGGGCACTTCTGTGCTCCAAGGCTCTGGAATTTCCGGAGCGGCTCCCAGGTTTGTGTGGCTTTCCTGGGTGTTTGCAACCTGAAATTCCTTTTCCTGCTGCTCCTGGCTCTTTCCAGACTCGGTGAAATGCAAGAAAATTTCTTGGGGTCGGCACTGCTCCATCCATGCAGGGAATCCTCATTTTCCTCCTCTTCCTCCTCTTCCTCTCTCCAGGTACCTCTGGAATGTTCATCCATGCAGGGAACCCTCCTCCTCCTCCTCTTCCTCCTCTTCCTCCTTCTTCCTCCTCTTCCTCCTCTTCCTCCACGCATTCCCTAGGGAAATTCTCTGCAGGTTCCTTTGGAATTCTTTGTTTTTGGGGAATCCCTACGGATTCTCATCCCCCCGGGCGCTGCCGCTCCTGCTCCGAGGGCTCTGCGCCCCCAGGGCCGCCACAGGAGCGGGAAGAAGGGCAGGGAAAGGGAATCCCGAGGGATTCAGGGATCCCGGGATCCCTTTGGGGTGGAGAGACCCGGCCCCACATCTGGCAGGGGTGGGAAGGTCAGCGGGGCAGAGCCGAGCCAGCCCTGCCTCGACCTCCCCGCTCACCCCGAGCCTCCCTTTTCCCTTTTTTCCTTCCCAAGCCACGCATTCTTCAGCCCAAACAACATTCTTGGATGGAGATTTGAGGGAATCTGGAGGGACTCGGTCACCCGGAGACGGAGCAACAGCCGAAACTGCTGGAAACTCTGAGCGAGGCTGCTCCGGTCCCGCCTGGCAGCGCCGGCTGCTCCCGGAGCTCCTGGAATCACCAAATTTCCATGGGAGCTGCTCCACAGCTTCCCTGGCATGGGGCGAGCTGCCCGTGTTGAGGGGGGACAGCAAATCCCGCACTGTCCCTTCCTGGGAAAGGCTGGGAAATGCTGGGAAAGGCTGGGAAAGGCTGGGAAAGGCTGGGAAAGGCTGGGAAAGGCTGGGAAATGCTGGGAAATGCTGGGAAAGGCTGGGAAAGGCTGGGAAAGGCTGGGAAAGGCTGGGAAAGGCTGGGAAATGCTGGCCCAGCCTTTTCCCCATCCTGCCGTAATTCCAGGCTTGGAATCTCACGTGATTCCTGCCTGGTGTCTCTGGGTCTGCGGGTTGTTGTGGGGTGGGCTCGGTCCTGACATCTCCCAGCTCCATGGAATCCTTGTCCTTATCCCAAACTCCCAGCCCCATGGAATCCTTGTCCTTATCCCAAACTCCCAGCCCCATGGAAGCGCCTCTGGATCCCCTCTGGCCTCAGTGTGTGGGCTCCATCCCCTTCCCTGCAAATCCAAGGCTCTGGATTCCCTAAATCCCCGCTCCCAGGCTGTGCTGGGAGAGGCTGGCTCGGCACAAGGAGGGTCAGAGCTCCTCGCAGCCACTGGAAAAAAGGGCTTGGAAAAGGTTAAGGGATTAATTTGGAGCAGAGCTGGAAACTCTGAAGCGTTTCCTCGTCCTGAAGTTCCCTCCTGTCCCTGGACTGCTCCGGCACATCCATGGAGACGCAGCCAAACACATCTGGGAGTGCTGGACTTTCCAAAGGAGCCTGTCGGGAATTATCCCGGGGCAAATCCCGCCGGGAGGACGAGAGGGAGCTGCACCGAGTCCCATCTGGGATCACAATTCCCTTCCCGGTGCCCGGGGTTGGGATGTGGATGTGTCCTGGGCTGTGGGGCTTCTCCAGGGCCAACCCCAGCAGGATTGGGGTGCTGATCCCATCCCATCCCAGCAGGATTGGGATGCTGATCCCATCCCATCCCAGCAGGATTGGGATGCTGATCCCTTCCCATCCCAGCAGGATTGGGATGCTGATCCCATCCCATCCCAGCAGGATCTGGATGCTGATCCCATCCCGGCAGGATTTGGATGCTGATCCCATCCTGGCAGGATTTGGATGCTGATCCCATCCCAGCAGGATTGGGATGCTGATCCCATCCCATCCCAGCAGGATTGGGATGCTGATCCCATCCCATCCCAGCAGGATTGGGATGCTGATCCCATCCTGGCAGGATTTGGATGCTGATCCAATCCCATCCCTGGGATGGATGTCCCAACCCTGAGCTCCATCCCCTGCTGGGACGTGGCAGCACCTCCCTGTCCCTCATGGGAGCACAGGAAGGAAAACCCCTATAGGAGAAATAAATCCCTATAGGACAAATTAAATCCCCATAGGACAAATTAAATCCCCATGGGACAAATCAAATCCCTATGGGACAAATAGAAATCCCTGTGGGACAAACAAATACTTATAGGACAAATAAAATCCCTATAAGAGAAATAAAATCCCTCTTGGACAAATAAAATCCCTCTAGGAGAAATAAATCCATCTAGGAAAAATTAATCCATATAAAACAAATAAAATCCCTATAGGACAAATAGAAATTCCTATAGGACAAATAAAT